GTTAAGTTTATTATTTTAATAGCGATAATAATAATAACAAGAATACGCGTCCTAATTTCATAGCCATTATTTATAACATTCCATTATAACTGATGTGTTCATAGCCATTATAACTGATGTTTCGACATTTATATTAAAACAAAATGAGCAAAAAAATCGATTCTTATAAATATTTCTACTACGAAACTCATTCTTACTATTATTTATATTAATTATTGCGGCAAAACTAATGCTTCGGAATAGATCTTTTCCACGAATTCCATTTGTCTTTCGTAGCATAAGCACCGGTATGTCATTGCATTATACAATGGCTGGAAAGTTTCGAGAATAAATTTATTATAGATAAGCCAAGAAAATTTGGTCAATTTTGTTTCCGTGAGAATGAGTTTATTCCTGTACGTGTTCAAATTTCTTACATCCCTACTCGTAACGAAAGTTGAGATATAAAAAAAAAACACAATTTTCGAGAGCGCTAAGCCATTATTTTGTTATATCAAGAATTCCTTTCCTTCTGAACTTTCTTAAATAATCCTAACTATTTATTAGATTTGACGATCGCATTACTTTTAGGCCCGGTTGCACCAATGTCGCATAACTTTAACCTTAGCTTAATTCACTCTTCTTCTTCTTAACTCACGTCTTTTTTTAACTGTCACCCTTAAAAAAAGAGACGAAGAGTGAGTTAACCTAAGGTTAAAGTTATGCGACGTTGGTGCAACCGGGCCTTAGTGCTCAATGCCAATTATAATAAATTTGTTGCTGCATAGGTATCCAACATTTTAATGTTTGTTGCAAATTTGTTTTCATTACTCGGGAAAAAATTTTCATATGTAATTATATAAAAAATAAGTCCATATGTGTTTTCTTATGAAAATTTTTTTTCTTGGGTATAAAATCATGAATACATTTCTAAAACTCACTCAAAATACTCGAGCGATGTTTAAATGTCAAGAGGGCAAGATATGAAATTTTTCTATCTTTTCCTTCGAAAAATTTTCATCTATTTTATACCTAAACACTACCTGCTGTTTCAAACGCAAGCTGCTATGCAAGTGATAACCGGCATATTATCAGTCGAATGATATTGCCACAATTCAACCGACTATAACTTCTAAGTGGCGCATTTTACAGTGACAGTCTCTTTGGTTCGGTGAAAGGTGAGCTTAGGCTCGACCAAAGACCGGTTGTTAAATACGTCTCATGCAAAGCGCCGCTCTTCTCGAGTCATTAATGTGCAAATTATGCGAAATAGATCGCAAGCGAACGCACGACTTTTATGTATATAAACGCGAATTGTTAAAGTTTCCGTCGTAAACATTAAGTCGGATAGCATCATACGCAAATAATTGTTTATCTTGACAAACTCGTGAGTGAAACATTCGTAGATTAATAAATTAACACGTTGATCAGTAAGTGTGTATTTCGTAATAAATAAAAGAGATATCAATAACAGTAATATGCAGTTAAGATATATCGTAAAGCAAAATTATAAATATATAATTATGTTAATATTCCATAATAATATGATACTTATTATTATCATTTTATTATTCGAAGAATAATTATGTATAAAGTTTTTGTATTCGAAGAAATATATCATAAAATCACGATTTGGAAATCTTTTACGTCATCAATTTTAAATTTTGAGCTACACGTATATTACGTAACTCTAAATTCCTCCTAAACCGACATTTCTGACAATTTTGCATTTGGAAACATTTGCTTCGCGTAGAAAAGCAAGCGTGATTGAAAAACGTTTATCTCAACTCTGACTTTTACCTTCGTTTTCTGTTTCAAGAATTTCGTGATCTTGAAGATCGGATTCGGCATCTTTGGCCTCGGCATCCTCAATCACTGGCGTTACCTTCGATGGATACTAAAAATCGCGGTCGACACCTTCTTCTTAAGTCTTTCTCTCCTTCGTTGACAGATGGAAAATTGTGTGAAAGTCGTGTTTACATTATGCCTCTTACTCAAATTGTATTTCTTCGAGAAACATAAAGTTTTTTTTAAAGAAGTACAGTTGCAATCGAGCAACAAATAGATGCAACGTTCAACGTTCTTCCTAACGTAATGTTCCTTGAGAAGTCACAGCGAGAGAACTTGTTTACATTAATATTATTATTTGATATTCCAATAATATTCCTAACTGGTTTCAAACAGCGTTAAAAAAAAAACATTTAACGTTACTTGACGTTACCGCACACCGATGTAATAATTCCTTTTTTATTTATTTATTTATTCTGGCAAGTCATTTGACGACTGAACTTCACTTCACGAGGACTGAAGCCGTACTGGAGCTTTCGGAATAAATCTAATACGTTCATACAAGTGATGAATAGCGAGAGGAGGGGAAAAGAAAATGAGTGACGCATATACTTTGGCAGATGCTTTCCTGACGACTGCGCATCCTCGGCTGCGCAACACGTGGTGCTACCCGTTCTAAAAATTTCTCGTGTGTTCTTCACTTTTTCCTCGCGAATGTTCTCGTGAACGTCTCGAGAACCGTCTTCCCTGGACTACGTTAATTTTGGCAAATCCAAGAAACATAATTGCATATATTATGTTCAATCCTTTCAGAATGTTGTCTTGCAAAATATTTCATCTTACAGCTTTCAAATCACTAATCTTCAACAATTGCTCGACGTGTATTTATATTCCATTAAACTCAACTTAGATCACTTATTTTCATTTTATACGCCTTTGCCTAGTTATAAAATTATTTTTAATTAGTTCTGCAAGTAATTCGACGTGATTATTCTCATCTTTAATTATCTTGCAAGTATCCACTGACAGCATATACCTATATACTGATAAAATTAATATAACTTTCAGTGTATTTTTGCGGAAAATTCCACACATCGGTTGTGGATAACACGTAAGCGAAATCTGACCCGACGCGGTTTTTTAAGCGACAAATTACGCCCGGCTTTACAATAAATACCGCCGCGTCCAAAAATAAGCGAATTTAAAGCATGCCCGAAGCTTGGCCATCCTGTCGTTTATTTTTGAACGATCAGATCACGAAGTGTTCGAGGACCTAAAAATACTGTAGTCGCGAATAAATCATACGCTTTTGTTATTAATGATCTTTTTTGATTGGCAACGTTTTTTGTTAATTTTCCAAAAGTCAACGAAAGTGTTTCTTCTACGTGAGCAACATGTCAAAGATTTATGAACTTATATCAATTTTTTATGTATGAATGCATTGAATGCGTCATTCCTGATGAATTTTTTATTTCTTTGACCACGCGTATTTTTTCTATTTAAGTAAATTTATGAGTGATTCTGTTACGTAAAGAAAATAGAATAAGTGAATAGAAGAAAATAATTTTCGAATTTACAGCGCAAGAAAACATTAAATTAATTTTTATTATCTGGAATCGATATCTGATTACGATAAGTAATGTCGTGTCTCTTTTTAGCTGCAAAATTGTTTTTATCCCGATAAGATCGTTATTATTAACTTTAGTTCACAATTGAATCCAAAGGTTTATTAACCTATCGACACAATATATTTTTTTTTTTACAAAATAAGATGTTTAGAAAAGAGCGAAACATTTTCAATTTAACTTTATCCGGCATTTAAAAAGAAAAAAGAAAAAATTTTGTCTACACATTACAAACGATCGAGTGCATAAAAGGTATTTTCCCAAGAAAATGATATCCGTTACATCTGTGTCAATTTACACCGCCTGTGTCAATTATCATCAATAATGCATCGATATTATGCAAGCGCCGACTAATTCATAGAGTACGACTCTTGACACAAGTTGGTCTACATTATTGCACGCTTGCATCATGCAAGATAGGTATACGCAGCATTTATCACGTCGCGAATGTGTCCAAACCTTATTCTTCCGTAAACAAGTTGCAAATATTGGTTCGTCCTCCACTGCCGTTTCATAAGGAAGCGTTATTAAACGCTCTTCAAGCAGAATGTTATACAGAGAGAGAGAGAGATCCTATTACCGTCAGATACATATATTTTTAAAGAAAATATAAACAATCGAAGGAAATAGCTTTTATACCTTCCGCTTCGAATTCCCACTCATGACACAACGCGATGCTGTTTATCACAATTACCATTTCGCCTTGGAATCGATAATCTTTATCGTCTTCGACGACGCAGCACTGATTTGCATGAAGCCGTAAGAATCGACTAAATATGGAAAGAGTGTGCTATAAGTATTTCGAATCGCGCGCGGTGTGATAGAAATCTGCGAGAAATTGTAAACGAAAACTGTTGTTAACGTATTATGAGATATATAAATATATTGTATATATACATATACATAGAGAGAGAGAAAAAGAGACGATAATAATAATGCGATAAAAACATTATGCATGCGCGAGTCGGAGAGTCTCGAACAAGTGCATGCTGCACACCCATCTAGATTCTAGTTGAGAATGTTCTACGACCAGGAGGAACAGGTGCATGCAGTCTGTTTTCGGCAGTGATGTGCGATTCGTCGAGATAAGAACCGGAGGAGATAAACCTAACTCGAATAAAGTCCAAATATTAAGAGTGAGTCATTAGTTAAACGAAATCGTTATTAAAGAGAAGTTCCTTGTACTGATCTGTACATCATTGTTCGTGGATTACCGCGGGGACATGAATGAGACAGCACAAGAGTGTAAACAGCAAGATCATAAAGAATTCTCTACAAACTATTTCGCATCACGCGAAACTAACATACTAAGTCGTGATAACTGATAATATAATCGAATGTACCGACATGAACAATCGAAGCGGGCAAAGCGGGTTGGAAAAGTCGGCTTTAAAAAAAAAGGAAGAAAAAAAAAGGACACCAAACGATAGGCACGGCCGCAACATCGCGTGACAACGCGGGGTGCACCCGAGATCTAACAAAGGTCTAAGGTGCGGCGGTGTTATCTAATTGTAAAAGGTGCATTGTTCAACATCGAGCAATTAGAGTGCCTAATGATATTATAGATATCATCGATATCACCGGGGAGGTGGGCGGAGTAATCGATACCTCCGAATCCTGGATCTGCTCGGAATCGGCCGACGTGCTCGAGGTCTTCAGGATGCTGTACAGCTTTACGTAGGGGGCCTTGATCAGCTGTCGGCCAATAGAATCGGCCGTGTTTAGCAAATATCTCGCCGCTCGCGGCATCATTGCGGTATACCGAGCCCCGGCGCGATCCTCGCGTCGAAAATCAACAGCCGGCACACGGTGTTCGGTGACAATCGTGACAACGACGAGCGCCGGAATCGAGTGGCCTTTGATGTGGCCATTGATAACGGATGACTCGCACACTCACGATTTCGCGAAATATTTGGCGTATCTCGGCGTTATCCGATAGCCGGTCGACACGAGGATCGAGTTATTAGCGAAATTAGGAACTAGAAACGTTCGCAAGTTGTCAGAAAAAGAGATCGATGCGGTTTGAAAAAATATCAGAAACAGCAATCTCTTTTTCTTCGACGAATCATACTGCAAAGTTCGAAATCAACGATTTCAAATTTTGCATTGAATCCAAAGTCAATTTCTCTGCAAGAATTTTAAATGAAGATCGTGACGATCAACATTTTGCGCATTAAATATGTCCATCATTAATTCGCGAGACTCGAACTTCGGTTGAAACGGAGATCTCAAATTGCAGACAATACGCTTATAAACGTATAAAGATACGTTTAGATAGATAAAATTTAAAGTCAGTCGGCAAAATAAAGTTCTTATCCACTTATCGAGGCGAAAAGTTTCAAAATTCTTCAAATTTTCAGTAGCAACTTTGTGAAAAAGTCTCTACCTAGCTGCTAGAAAAGAGCAATGGGATATTCGACGATGTCTCTTGACAGTACTCACCTCCCAGGATTCCCTTGTCAACTCGCTGATTTCGTCAGTTTTGGGCTCCTCCGGGGAATCCGCGCCCTCGCCGCTCTCGCGGGGCGACAGTTCCGGCGACAGGTCGGTGTCTGTATCGGACAGGATGTAGCCGCGTTCCCGCCAGTAGTTCTCATCCAATTCACCGTAGAGACTCGGCACCCACGCATGAATAAACCTGTATAGATCGTCCACTCTGCAACGAGAAGAAAAAAAAAGAACGATAAAATCGTCATTATTTTTCGGCAGTGGGCAAAAAATTCTTCCCAATTTTCCAATATTTGTTATTAACTTATTTATCAAACTATCGATTTAAGCTTAAATACTACGAGCAAAGGTTCTCCTATAGCAGAAAATTTATTGTTTTTTTATATCGCTAAGTAATGCCACTATATATGTATAATATATGTATATAAATACAACAGTATCAGTTAATCTATTGTTATTGCATACTCTTTCTGCATAAAATGTAAGAATATTCGTAATACTATCGGTGCAGAGGTAAGATTTTAGCTTAAAAAACTAGCTGACAGTTTATAAATAAAATTCAACGATAATGCAAGCTGAAGATAAAATATTGGAATAATCTAAAAAACAGATAACAAATTAATATTTTTGCGAAACACATATGTGTGACGTTTCGATTCGCGTTACATTTCTTTTCAACTAGAAAATAATCCTTCATATAATCTTTCATGCAAATCAAAACGCTATACTTGGCGCGAGACACTACCGTGCCTCTTGAAATAAATTGTATAGAGAGGCAATTTTATAGCTCTTAATTTTAGAGATTTTTATTTCTAAAAACAGATCAACATCACGGATTAAAATTTAATATTTTGCTACTACGCGAGACACATATATGTATATGTGATATTTTGATTCGCGTTACATTTTTCATTCGATCAGAGAATAATTTTTTATATCAATCCACGAATTGTATACAGAGATAAGTTTATAGCTCTTTTAGAGATTTTAGTTTAAAACTAGATAACAGTTTATAAATAAAATTCAACGATGATGCAAGCTGAAGATAAAATATTGGAATAATCTAAAAAACAGATAACAGATTAATATTTTTGCGAAACACGTAAACTGAAGATAAAGTTATTGAAATGGTCTAAAAACAGATCAACACCACGGATTAAAATTTATTATTTTGCTACTACGCAAGATACATATGTTTTGATTCGCGTTACATTTTTTATTCGATCAGAGAATAATTCTTTATATCAATCCACGAATTGTGTAGAGAGATAATTTTGTAGCTCTTCTACAGATTTTAGTTTAAAACTAGGTAAGAGTTATAAATAAAATTCAACGATGATGCAATCAGAAGATAAAGTTATTAAAATGATCTAAAAACAGATCGACATCATGGATTAGAATTTAATATTTTGCTACTACGCGAGACACACATATATGTAATGTTTCGATTCGCGTTACATTTTTTTTCAACCAAAAAATAATTCTTTACATGGATTCAGGAATGAATTATAAAGAGAAATAATTAGAGAAAAATATAGAAAAACGTCTTAGAATTATAGCTCTTAGTTTTAAAGATTTTAATTTAAAATTAGATAAAAGTATAAATAAAAATTCAATAATGATGCAAGCTGAAGAAAGTAAACTCTTCATATAAATATCTAAGAATAAATTGTACTGAATTTTATAGCTCTTAGTTTTAGAGATTTTAGCTTATTAAAATTCAACTGACAATGCAAGCTGAAGATAAAGTTATTTCTGAATGGTTATTTCTGGAATGATCTAAAAAACAGATCAACATCACGATTCACGGATTAAAATTTAATATTTTGCTGTTACACGAGACACATATGTGACTTTTCTTATTTGCGTTACATTCGCCATTTTTTCCAATATAATTCTTTATATCAATCCAAGAATTGTACAAAGAGATTATAATTTATTAATTTTCTAGCTCTTGGTTTTAATTTAAAAATAAATAGGAGTTTATAAACAAAATGCAAGGTGCGCGATGTCTATATGCGACGTTTCGCGACTTTGACGCCGCAGCTGATTGCGAGGACTGCTATCGCATGCCACGTTTTACCTGCGATGTACGAAGGGCATCACGCCCGTCACCGCTCCTCTCACGTGGCGGTCGTAAATAAAATTCAGCATATCGCCGACCGTGCTCATCGCCCGATTCATCGCCGCGTCGTAGACGAGAGAGCAGCGTATTAGACGGACAACGTCAGCTGCGCGCGCGCCAGCCAGCTACGAGTGTCACGTCGCGCGCGACCAATTATCCGAGACGTCGCGGATGATCGCGGAACGTATCAAGCGTTCGTTATCACAGCTTCCGTCTCTAACCTTCTGACAATTCCTAATAGATCTCCAATCTCTCGGCCGCGATACTGTTTTATTTATACGCGCGACACACGTCGGCGATTGATTCGCGCGGCGCGGCGGAGCTCCCGGGATACGTAACGCGCAGCACTTCGCGATAGACGCGGAACGCGCGTCTCCTATGTATGTATGGAGCGGAGAACGACCGGAAAACGGAGTGGCTGCCCAGATACGTCGACGAGCGATTCACGGACATGTCACGTGCCCGCCGATTCGCTCGGTGCACCTGTACTTTTGTTTCGTATACGTGCCTCGCGGAACGTTGTTGCTCGCCGTACATCACGTCGGCGTGGCGTTTCAGCTTTTTAGCCGGCCAAGGCTCCTCGCAGTCGCAGTTTTCCTTGCCTCACCGGACAATGCAGAGTCCAACAAACGCAGAATTCATCTCGCAACGCGTTCCCGTCCATACAGTTAGACAAAAAATAAAAAGCTGTAAAATTACTCCCTCTGCGCAATTCATTGTTCGACGTAAAAAAATATTCTAAAAATTCGCTGAAATAGCGCCGACACAAAGTCGAATTTTTATTCAATTCAGTCGGGTATCGTTACTGCAAATCGCGAATGTAACGTGAAAAACATTTATACGTATCTCACGTAGTAAAAATATTAAATCTTAATCCATCGATCTCTATTTTTTAGACCACTCCAATAACTTTTTTTTATCTTCAGCTCGCATCGTTGAACTTGATTTACAAACTGTTATCTAGTTTCAAACTAAAATCTCTCGCCAGGCGAGATTATAAATATTTGTATACATTATACACAGAAAAAATGTGCAAACAATATATTAAATGTTCTTATTTTATTTATTCGGCATTTTTTTACGATATGTACACCGAATTTCTTCCAATCGGAACTTTTTATTGTAGAAAAATCGGATAAAGTTCCGATCCATCTCCGATTTCGATGAAAAAGCTTTATTTCGGGTTAGACTCCTACGAATCCTAGGAAACCATTTTTCAAGATAAAATGATAAAAAGTAGAGGAAGATTTTAACAATTCTACAAGATGTTATAAATTTTTATAAATTATTATATATTATATAAACACTTCTCCCAACTTTAATTTAAACAAGTCTTTCTGTTCAAATCATATTTTGATTCAAATCATATCAACAATCATATTTTAGAAGTTTTTATGTTGATTTAAAAGCATTGAAAACATGTTCCACATGAGTTTTAAACTTTTCACGCGAAGAGAGATCCACTCACTGCACCCTCTGCTTATAGGGCAAAACGAGGTCTTATCATTGTACGGTTCGAGTTTTCAATTTTCCACGCGAATCGAAGTCTACCCCCGCTTACATGTGTACTGTCTATACACATATCAGCAAATTAGCAGTACAACTTCCCTTAGCAGTTATATTTCTTAAATTTTTTTGTCAATAACTTTTTAATAAATAACGAACGACAGCTTTTAGAAGGTTACTCAGGAGAGTGCTCTCTATAATATATGTTAAGGTCAAAATCGCAGGAGTTGCTTCTCTAAACTAAATAATTACCACACTTACTAATTTTTCTACTATTTTATCTTGAAAAATGGCTTTCTTGTAAGAGTCGCAAAAATTCGCTTTAAGGGCTTTCATTTTAACCCAAAATGAAGCTTTTTGCAAAGTTTTATCGAAATCGGAGGTGTAAACCCGCGTTTTCGAAACTTTATCCGAAAAATCTTTAAATCGATAGTCCGATAAATAAGTTACAAATATTAGAATTAAGAATAGTTTAAGAAGACACAAAAACGCATGCATCGTTTTCTATGTTTTCTTAAATATATTAAACACGCAAAAATTAATTTAATTTTATCACTCGCTGATACGATATCGATACAAGATGCAATATCGATTTTATTCTTGTAACACTTATAATACTTAATGACAATACTATTTTTAGCGACTTTTAATTTATCTAATGATATAAGAGCGATTACCGAGAACCCATACTGGTACGAGGAAATGAGGTCGCTCTCGATAGATCTTAATCCGAACGAACGCTTAAGCCAATCTTAATTGCGTATTGTTCGTTACAATCGCGATACTGGGAAATGGCCGATGGTATTTGTTGTAAACAAGTGGCACTCGAAAAGGGGTGTTAACAAGATTTGCGCGATATCATGATACATATATGTAGATGACATACAAAATTCTAAGAATCGGGATTATATTATCTTAATTAAACAACAACATGCAACGTAGGACACACCTCCCTTTCTTTCTTTTAAAATTAAGATATATTTCGATATTTGTTTTATATACGAGATATGAAACAAATACGATAGATTAAAGTATAATAGAAATGAATAAGTGCCTCTAGCATGATCCTAAATTGCACGTTACTTCTCGAAAAATTCTAGCGCAATTCTCGTTACTTTAATGTATTAATTTAATGTATTAAGTTCATATTTCACACGTGCGAGCAAAATATTTATTATTTCGTTGTTGAAATAATCTTTAGACACATGCGGCAAGAAGAGAAACACTGGCAGCCGACGCGTAGCGAACCTTGATCGAGCATCAGCGAGCGTATAAATAGAAGTTCCGGCGAAAATCTATTTTGCGTGTCTTGCGACGTAGCATGTGTCCGGTCGTAACGCGTTCTTTCGAACGGAGATGTGCGTAAATCGGCTGTATTATACAAAAATAACGCAGCTAAAGTTTTCGCCCGAGGGAAATTTACCGGCGTGTTTCTACCGAGAAACGTCACCGTCGAATATTTATTTGTGCAAGATGAAATGATTGATTTATCGCGGACAACGCGGCGCCTGTAAGGGCTCATGCACAATAAGAGAAATAAGGAACAAGGAATTAAACATAGAGAATTCATAGCCGCATCTTTTTTCAAAACTCTATGTTTAATTCCTTGTTCCTTATTCCTCTTCAAGACTGTGTTCTTGAAAAAAGATGCGACTATGGCCGGTATTCATAGTCGGATCTTATATTTAAGACCATCTTAAGTACGATCTTGAACATTTAAGACCACCTTAAGTAAGATGTTATGAACCAATCACAGAGCCGTATATTACTTAAGACATTACTTAAGACAGTCTTGAAATAAGAGCCAACTATTGAATACCGGCTTATGAATTCTCTCTATGTTTAATTCCTTGTTTCTTATTCCTCTCATTGTGCATGAACCCTAACTCGTTTTCCGACGACAACTAGTCGTTGAAAAAAAAAGAGCCGCCGATCTTGATAAAATAAAATTTTAGGAATGCACGAATCCCGAAAAAATCCGGTTTTCGTGTTTAAACATGCTAGGAATAAACTGCGGAACGCAAAACAAAGAGCGTGAAAAATTTATAATATCAAAAATACGGTCCAAACATTATGTTGCATAGTTTTGAGTTTCTACATATATCATCTAATTGTAAGATCGCCAAGGTCATATACTGGTTTAGTACTGGATACTTCAAACGATTATGGTATATAACTTGGATTTAACTGTGAAAACGAAGTTTCAAACTCGATTATATTCCTATTTTATGTACTCCATTGCAATATCTCAAGGGACGCGACGAGACGTTGCGAGAGATAGCCATGTGAGAAACAACTTACCTGTTGCGTGGTACGCTGAACCAGTATTCGGGACGCAGCTTCTTCTTGCCGTAGCTCATAATTGGCGTCGATCGTGGTATCTTCTTGTCCTTGGGTCTTCCTGTTCGTAGTCTCAAGTATAACGGTGGGTCCTCACAGGAACGAGCAGGTCGTGGGATCAGTTCTGCGTAATGTCGGAAAATATTTATCGATATAATTTAGATACTCCAGTAATAAGAGTGTTTTATATTCAACAGATTTATCTTTTCGATATAGAACTCGCGAATCCAGGCAATATGATTCATGATTTCGTCATAATAAAGAAATCTTTTTGCGATAAAAAGCTCGTATATTTTTGTATATGTAAGATTCTTTCCTGAGGTTCTTTAAGAACTGCTAAAAACCACACGTAAATACACCGATAGGTTGAAAACACGAATAAAATTGGAAAACGAGGCAAGCACATTACCACAAAAAAGTGAGTAGAGAGTGTCAGAGTAAGAATTATATATGTAAAAGGAATAACGATAGCAACGTGGGGTAGAAACGTGATAGATGAATGATACATATTGCACAGATATTGTAGAAGAGTTTGACAAAATATATGTGCAGCAAGAAATGGTGACGAAAATGGAAATAACCATTACAGTGATACAGTGTATGGTCGCCCGTAAGTTGCGCAAATCATGTTTAATGCATGACAGTAAATAAAATGAGTAAGAGACAAAAAAACATGTTACGTTCGAGACAGACGTACGAAAGAGGCAACTGAAGAATTGGGAATTCGCGTCACAAGGAGAAGAGCAAGCTAATACTGTATGAACCTACCCAGGCCTTCGAGTTCGGGAAAATTAGGTGCTTGGACTAGAGGGGCAACAGAAACAAATGACATTACTGTATTAGTATGAACCTGTTGCTATCTAAAATGATGAAACCCGTTGTGCTAATCTGAAATAGATAAAATATTACTGGAGAGAAAGACAGACAGAAAGATGTGATTGAACAATGCAGAAATGTACAACAGTTACTACCAAAATCTATAACAATCGAACATATCACACATTTCACAGAAGTAGTATAGTTTGCCTCAAAAGACTTATTCGATTATCATAGAAAATATTAATACGAAAAATCTGAAATTCTATGCTAAATATGCTTTAAAGTGACAATTAAAAGATCATTTAAATTGAAACAAGACGCGTCCGTCACATGCAATGTGTGGCACAAAGGGTTTCAAGATTCTGAAGATATATCTGTATATTTTGTTTGTAAAGAAATATGTTATGAAAAGTGCTTGTTCAGTTAAATCTTTTTATTAAAATACAATTTGGAAAAATACGTATTTATCAGGATATAAGCTAAGATCGATAAGAAAGTTAATTTACATCAAACAAAACCCGTATAATTTATGTTACTTTCTCCCAAAATACTCGATAAATATTTTGTACATCAAAGAAAGGTAATATTTAACGTTTACTTAATGGAATGACGTATGGAACTGATAATGACAAGCAAATATACGATCTAAAACAATGATAGACTACCTTAATGTACACCAAGGTAAGCGCATTTGGTTACCAATCCCAAGTTTGCCTGGCGGTTTAAGACAATATTAACGAAATTTAGGAAACAAATTTAGGAAAAGAATTATTTTCACACAAATTCATAGTAATTTATAGCCAAAGGCGCTCGAAATTCTGAGACAAGGACAATAAACTGGCAAAACAACACGGTTTAAAAAGCTATCTATGCGTTCTCGGGCAAGTGCAGTGCGTGATATATTAATCCCGTTTGCCATCCCCTTATCGTTACTAATCAATTCTTTTCTATCCATATATCGATGCCAATATTAAATATTATATGAAAAATAACAGAGACAGGTGTGTTTTGTGTAAAAGGGAAGTCTGTTGGAGTATGCCTTCATGATTATCAGAGTATCTATCCATTCCGATAGGACATGAAATATTTTATGGACAGGTCTCTATGCGGTCGTGATACTTACTGTCGAAACTCACAAATAATTCCGGCATATCGTCGACTGAGACCATACTGCGGTAATCTAGTCGCGGTGCCGTCGCAGAAGTTTTGCTACCTCGACTGCTATCGACGCTGCTGCTGCCAGAAGATGTTAAAGGTTGCTGTCTAATAAAAGTACCCACGGAAGAGCGTCTGAAAGAAAATTCATAAAAAATTTAATTATAAAAAAGACAGGGAGACAGAATTTCTTATTAGACAACATTCCAAACGCTTCTGAACGACAAGTACATGTTAGCTGTCATATCTAACTAAGTTGTAACAATATCGAATTTGCACATCATCATAATTCAGAAGCGATATGTACAACATCCATAACAATAATAATAGGAATTAACAAGGTGTATCCAGTATAAATGACGAATAATGAATCATGTGACTGCTTGAGGATACTAAACACTGTGTAAAATTGATTACGAGTTAGCTGTAAGCGATCTGAAAAGTAGTACCGGTAGTGTCTGTTGCCTGAGTTGTTCGGCAAATAATATGATTTACCTGAAAGCAGGAGCCCTCAATCCCAGAATGTCTTCGAAATTAAAAAATAATAGCGAAACAATGGAAAAGTGTATGGAAGGAAGAAACATTTAAATAGTAGAATCCTCGGAATATTTTGATAATCGCTACATAGTGCATGTACAATTTTACTCTTTCGTAATATTTATATTTATATTTATAAGATTTAATTGATATAATGTTTCTTTCGTAATCAGAACATTGAGGAGGATTCTACTGGAACAGAACGTTTCCGAAACGACAGAGGTTGATCAGATGAGAAGTAGAAAACAGATCAGGTAAAAAATAGAGGAGACTAGGAAAAAGGTGGAAATACAACAATGCAAGGTTACGGTCGGGTCCAGACTCACCCGATAAGACCTCCTGGACCAGGTGAGAAATTGCTGAAGTCCTGGGAGAGAGAGGAGGCGGTAAGCGGAGGAGTTCCGCCCGCTCTACCGCCCCCGCCACTCTCTTCGCTGGGTGTTTTAGCAAACAGGCCCGAGCTAAAGTCACTCACCAGGTTGATCGGCGAGCTTTTATCCACCACCATTACATAGTCTTTGTTAGTTATATTAAAAATGAATAGTAAAGCGTTAATGAATATCTAAATTCGTATTGTATGCAACGTAGGCGCAACGTAAACGTCTAGGAGTTTCGTCACAATCGACCGCGCAATAATTATCAGTCTTTTAGATGACTAAACTGCCTGTATACCTTCATATTTATATATTTATTTCACGAGTTTTGTATTGTAATGCTTTTCATATGCCAGAAGCTCTTCCTATGCAAGTAGCTAATATATGCTACGTTATAACAAATGAGGCTACACCTGTTTCATTTCATAAAGATAAAATTGACTTTTTATCTATCAAAAAAGGATAGATAGACAGAATTTCTTATAGATACAATAAACGCATAAGTTACACCAGGAGAATAACTGCTTACAAATAACCTCATTTGTATGTATTTACTAAATATAAAAGTTCGCAAAAAGCAAGTTAAAATAAAAGCGATAAAATTATTAGTTTTTCTTTTCTTCTGTAAATATGCATATTTGCAAGAATGTTACTCATTCTTAGCAGAATAAAAGAGTGTGAAGAAATAAAAGCGGTTGTAAAAATGTCATATATTTAAAATAATTCAAACACGCTAGATTGTTTATCGATAATTATCAATACAATATGAGATAAATTTGTTCACCTCGAGAAGACTTTGCTGAAAACAGAGGAATGATGGGAATCCGCGCTGTTCGGGAGGCTCGATATCTTGTCAGAGAGAGATTTGCTGCTATCATCATCCTTCTCTCCAGTTAAACCTTCCATCCAGGATAATGGATATGACAGACGTTTTAGCATCTAAAATGTCAAAACAAATACATAAAATATATAAACGAGTATAATATCGCGTTATTGTGATGCGAATGTTAAATTTAATACCTTGTTCTTTCGAGTTTCCTGTTTATCATCCTCCTTATGCTCTTCATCCTTCTCGGGTTCTTCTGCATTGCTCTCTAGGCTAAAGGACACCGAGCTGGCTTTTTTCCTGCCATTAATAGCAGAAGTGGCTTCCAACGTGCTCGTAACATTCGTTGGTGCTATTGTTATCGGAGGAACCCAATCCGAAGATAAAACAATATCTGCATCAGAATAAACTTTTTTCGATGGTATAGGCTGTACTACTGGGATAGGTGGATTAGGATCGCGGATATCGATACCAGAGTCATGGCACGACAATTTGACTAGAGATCCTTCTTCGTCTTCGGGAATGGCATTTGATTTAGCTGGTGGTTCCGCCTGCAATAATTGTTTATATATACATAAATATGTAATTTTAATTTATTATATAATTGCTATCAAGACAGAAATATGATCACCTTATCAGAATTTAACGAATCTTGCTGTTCGTCATCAACAGAAAATGTACGATCTTTGCTAGGAACTGCCCAATGATGGTCAAGCATGGAACGTCTGCGTTCCTCTAAAGTTCTACTACCTTGGCCGCCAGTGCAACATTCTTTCTCATTGTCTTTCTCACTGTCTTTCTCACTGTCTTTCTCTTTCTCTTTATCTTTGGTCGAGGTTGAATTCTCCTCCTGCAACAACGATATATTCGTTATAAATTACAATTTTAACATTTTATTTTATATAACAAATGTCGATATTGGCAACAAAAGAATACATACACTCTGGAGATTGGTAGGAGTGACGAGCTCTCGGTCAAAGGCCTTTGGAAAAGCGTCGCCGTCTCTTTCAGCGCAGCTACACACACTTTCGCTATCGTCGGCTGCTAATTCAGGAAAATTCTCGTCCTTTCCCGGAGATTGACATTTATTACGATTATCTATTTGGGGTTTCTTCATGTAATAAATCTCAGGCTTTTTGTCCAAATGTCCGGATTCGGTATGGGAGACCCTCATATGCGCGATGTCAAAATAAATCGCAGCATTGACTACAAACTCCATCGGAGCGATCACCCCGTAAGATTCAGCACCGTGCTCGATGACGAGAGGATCAGACACGTTTGGATCGAACATAACTGCGTTTGGTGTGACCAGCAGCACCCCGCCGACTACACCCTAGAAGAATATTTAAATCTCAGAAAATGTTGAAACTTTTGCATGAAATTTACAGATATTAAAAAGTACTAGAGACAATTACCTGGCCATCTGTGATGTGCCTGACATTAATTTTCAAGAATCTTTCTCTGAATGGTTGTTCGTCATCATCTGCAGTCGCGCCAGAGGTTCCAAGAGGTGTTTTTATGCGTTCCATATGGCCTGGTTTTGGTGACACTGGTCTCAAATTATCCAGAAGTTCTGCAAAACCAAAAACGAATTGCGAGAATAAGTGCGAAGCAGAGAAAAACATGCTTTAAAATACCCCCCAAAAAATACATGTTTTACTGAAATTAAAAAAGGTGATGCTGGTTTATCAAACTGTCTACAAGAATTTCTTAATTACGTCATTCACAAAAGAGTTACGATAGCAAGTAGCCTAACTTGGATCAAGGAGCCGGATAATAACGTTTTCGATTGAGAATCCTGCGGTGTTTAAAAAAGTTCGTTATCTAAAGACTCTGAAGAAGACAAGTCATGACACTTGTTTAAATCCCAACTGCCCATGTCGATCTAACCTCGCATGCAGAATGATGCGACGTGACTCGTTATTCGTCGCAATAAAACGCGAATAACGAGTCACGCGTATACAATTCCGACGAAATCGGCAATTACACCGTCCATCTCATTTGCCACAACGTCACGATTGTAGCGCAGGCATTATTAGCGCTGGCATATAGATTAGAACCGTGTTTACGCGGCTTCGCACACCGACCAGCGTGCAGCGTGTGCACCGTGGTCGATCAGCTGATGCGCGCGACATACCGGGTGACCCGCGCGTACCGCTCCAGAATTCACTCCCTGGAGTTCCTGGACGTTGCGAGTTGCGAATATCGCGGACACTCGCTCGCGGCGAAACGGAGCATCGCGGTCCGCGGAACAAAATCGAAGAGCTAAAATCGGCCCGCTTTATACTTAAAATAACTGTCTTTTAACCTTTCCGCGTGCGATATCGATCCGAGGATACCGCGCCTCCACACGTTCATTTCGTACAATCCGATAACTTGAGAATCTCGAGATAAAAGAAAAGAGAGAAAAAAAACGAACTAAAGATGCGAATTAAAATTTAAAAAAAGTATTGAGTGCGGTACAGGACTTTTCAGAACAGTCGTACGGAGTCCGTCGCTCGCTTAAATTCTTCCTCGCCGATTTATCGATCTCGGGGGAAAAAGACAGGAAGATGTCGAGGCACTGATAGCTTTCGTATACGTATACAATCTACAATCTACGTCGCACGACATACGCGGCGTCGAGCCACCTTCATGATGCGACTGCGCTTTTCACGGTGTGCGCCGCGTCGACCCTTCGCTTCGAGTTTCGAGTCGCAGAACTCGCAGATCGCGGGAGATGCGGGGTCCACGATCGCGGCCATCATCTTCCTCCTCCACTTCCCCTCGCCCTCGCTTTTCGGAGTTCGGCACTCGGCACCGCAAAACGTGACGACGTCGCGCACACGTGTCGCGCGAGTGTCGCGATCACGTGTCCGCGACGTCCGCGTTGCGGTGCAGCAACCAGTGCGACGCAGCGGCGGCGCGGCGGCGCCGATAACGGCGGTGACAAAGCGTTTCCCGAAGAAGAAGAAGACATAAATAAACTTCGAACGAATGTACATACGTAACAATTCGAACCTGGCTATTGTTCCGCTAAACAGACAAACAGCCGAGCAGTGAATCACGAAATTGTGTAACGTCGGGACACGAGTTATATTCTCTGTGGCGCTAAGTCTAGAAACAATTTCCCTTCGCAAGTGCGTACAATGCGGATATTAATTGAACTGTCGCGAATAAATAAGCAGCTACGTATTTCGTCAGAAATTGGACTGTCTCGCGTGAACGCGTGTTAGCGTCAATATGCACATATTACGGAGAGACAGAAACAATACAAAATATTTCGTTTCTTCATTCCGAGGAAAAGAAAATTGTACGTATATTTACTTTTTTAAATTTATACATATTGTAAAGCTTGTGTATCCAAATAATCTATTATTTCTTACGTTATTCTTTACGTAAGTTTTCTGTTTAACGTATTACGTATTACATAATTTTTCAAATTAATTTTTTTCTATCAATTTAGCATATTACACAATTTTTCGAATTAGATTTCTCTAACAAAAATGATTTGCGAAATTCAGTTCCGAGAAAAGCTTGACAACTTAAAAGTATGCTAATGCGATGTTCCAACAACGATATAAGCGACGACTATTTTCGAGCCCAAAATTATTCTAATTAGCTCGCTCGAACATGTAGTAATGAGTGGACCATACTTTTACCTATAATCGACAGGACAGGTGAAACGCGGGGATTTCACGGTTTGCCGCGGGCGACAGGCAGATAAAACACGAGAAGGCAATCGCGTTAGTCACAATAGCGCTCCGTATCGATTTCTCGGGCACGGGTATTACGGGGTAACGCGATGTGGTAACGTATTAATATTCATTCGAACGGTCGACTTTGTACGCAGATAATAATATAATATCCGATATCCCCAATTCTTTCCTCTGTGTGTTTAGTCAGGTGAGAGCCAATCTAGCGCATATCACGCACGACGCCCAGGCACAGGCGGCGTAGCTGAATCCTGCTGAATTATTCATAGCCACGCCGCTACGCGTGTATCAAATCTGTCTCGCGCATTAGCATAATACGAGACAGGATACAGGACCTCCGGGCGACGTATCCGACGGGAATAAGGATCGAAATCTCCGTTTTAATTGCACGTCCTCGTTACGTCGTAAGGAAAAAAAAGGAGCGCGATGGCCGCCTGTCGCGACGGATTATGTCTGACTCTCTAAGGATATTCGATTCTGAATCGATTTATTTAAAGAATCAATCTTTTTAAACAAAAAAATGATTTTTTTAAATTCAATTTTGATACAAATCAATTATTTTAATAGAGAATTGATTTACGATTCGTTAATAAAAATATCTTTAGATTTTAGGTTGAATTTTTTCAGTTTTAAATAAAATATCCGTTTTGTAAAATAAAAACATCTTTTTATATAAATCAATTCTTATTTTTAGTGTTCTTGCAGTCTGTGAAAGTATTAAGGTAAAAAAGTGAATCCTTTGTAAGATATTTCACTTTTATTTTAATATTTCTTTATATGTAGTATGTACATTTAATTTTTACAGTTTATTATCTTATCTTTTTTTATACATTCTGATAAAATATGAAATATTTTGTCAAATTCTTTTGATTTATCTTAATACTTTTAAATGTAAAATGACAAGAAGAATTGATTTATGTATAAAACAAGATGTTTTTATTTAAAAAATGTCTTGTTAAAAATTGAGATAATCTTTAAATCTTGAAAATGACATTATCTAGAATGAAGTTAATCCTTTTATTTGAAGCAATGCAACTTTGATATTAAAAATACATTTATTAATAATAATTTCTTAAAAATAATCATAAAAAAGACTATTCTAATATATTATATGTAAAAAGTATGTATATATATTTATATTTTTTAAATTGCGCATGATATCTTTAAATCGATCTTTTGGTCCGGTTTTTCAGTGAATCAATTTTAGTTATTCCCAGATTTAGTTATCCAAAATCGATTCAGGAATCGATATTTATTATAAAAATCGAACATCCCTATACTTTCTAATAAAAATAGATTTCAAACGTCGTCGAAAATATTTCTTTCTTTTACGTCATAAGTCATTCGATACTGGATTTAGCGATAAGCGTGACAAGACCGGATTATCTTTAATAAAATTTTAATTATCTATTCCTCGAAAGGTTATTATTCCTAAGGACTATCTGTATAACAATATCTATCGTACGCGTAATAATACGTAAACAAATTCCCTTCTCTGCTTTCGTTTACTAAACAATAACATTGATTACTTTGCTTGAGAGAATTATGATGCGAAGAAGAGAGATGGGAGAAGAGCGGCTAACGTTTCGATTAAAAAACCCCCTTCTTATCGGAATTTTATATCCGTCATTATAAAATTTTAAGTAGCATGCTGTTACACTGCTCGCAAAATAAAAGGAATTAAGAATAAAAAGACTCGCAAGAGCGTAACTCTTTGTTGAATATGAACTCGAGGATATCGGTTTTAGCAAACATTGTACGATAACCCAAGTCAGCATCCAAGAGGATTAAATGGAACGACGAAGATTACCTTTTTCTTCGGGTGGTAGGTCATCCTGGGACTCGTGATCGTGGCAAGGGTCAGGGCTGGGCGCATCCGTGGCCGATGCGCCTCCCAGGCGTCCTTCTCCTTTCGCCGGCACCCATAACTGCTGACCGGAATAAATGAAAGTACTTCCGAGCCTGTTCAATTTGCTCAGCTCGGACGGCGTCGTATCGAATCGCGCCGCCACCGACGTAAGCGTGTCTCTGTCACCCACCTGTAATTACGAAGGCAAACGTGTCATTAGGCGTCTCAATTTACGAGGGTACATAATCCCTCAAAGAGAATCACTTTCTTCGCAACGTCTCAACGCTCCTTGTTTAGCGCGTTTCACACAAATAACGGGAGGGAACGTCATTATCTTCGCCGTCCTTCATGAAGCATTTTAATTGGGATAATTACAACGAGTCGATCAGAGCGAGTGTGCGAAATGACTTAAAATTGATTTCTCGCCGTCAGCGAAAAGATGAGGCGTTTTTAATCCGAAAACGGACGTTTGAGGCTATTTAAACACCCCAGCGCTGCAGCGGCGAAAAAATAAAGCTCACATCACAGTAATTTTTATGTGCTTCTTTCGTTTTTAAATATTTTTTTTTTTGTTTCTCCTTAATTTTCTCAGAAAATGTTAAGTAAATCCATACACATATTGCCTTTGAATACTGATAAATTATATAAAACAAACAAAAATATGCAATATGTAATTAATAACAATGATTTTTAATTGGGGTGCAAAAGTAGTCTCGGGTGACCGTTTATATACAAAAAATGAGACGCCCGTTCTCGGATTAATAAAACAGGGTGGTCCGAAGCGTCAGGAATAACGTGTGTCAGCGATCGATCTAAATTTCTTCTTATTCGCTTTCGTAAATCGAATCCGTATTTGCGGGGCGCGTCTAACATAAGTGCACACGAATTGACTCGACGAGACGCGCCGGGAGGATCGCATCTCCGACAAAATCTCCGTTACTCCGTTTCGCGCATCTGAGAGCTTTCTCCGGTACGCATTTTTCCGCACATGCACGAGCGCCCGCGGCACAGGGCCATTAGGCCATTTACATAAGCCGCGGCAGAAACGGCGCGCGGCGCGCTCGCGAGTAGGTATCGGACGATAGAAAATTGAATTCTTGGAACCCCTTTTTCCAAGGAGCCTCGCGCCGAGGCGCGAGTGCGACTTGTCTCTTATGCAAATTCGTGCACGCAACGACTTGCGCCGCAACGATGTGTCGCTTCGGTGTCGCACGGTCGCCGGGCTATTTGTCGCGCGGTCGCTCCTCTCCTTGAACAAAAGCGCGCTCGCGCGCGCATCTCCCCCGCGGAAAAGAGTCGACATAATTCAATTAAAAAGCTCGTCTTCACGCGCGCGGACGCTAATACCACCGTCGCCGTCGGTAGGTCCGACCATTTTCCACATCGGCGGTAAATAGGGTTTCCGACGCTTAAAACGCGATTTATGTCCCACCGGAAAATTCGTTAATTATTCCGCGACACTTCAACCCTCTCTTCAAATGCGCGTTCCACCTCGGCGCTCTCGTAATTTCATCAGGTGCTATGATACAGAAATCTTGCTGCGCTATTATCATTTTTTCGGTAAAGTTCCTTGGAGCTTTAAAGCCCTTCGTCACTCGAACAATTAAGTCATTTACTTTCAAAGCATTTCACAAGTCCACATTTTTTAAATATACGTATTATGTATATTGTGCAGTTTTTTTAAGTGCGTGATTTTTATACTCGTCATCAGAAGTGATTTTGAAATTTTTGAATTAATTTCTTAATTCCAATTCTCGTTGTATTATATTTTTACCATATTCAGTCTCTTTAACTAAAACAACTTTACTTATATTAAGTTTGTCTGAAATTCTTTAAAACAAAAATTTATCATTTGCTCTTATAATTTTTATCTTCAATTACTTATGACTTAACAGTTATTGATTAAAAATTCATATCGGAATATCCAGAATATTCAAAATCTCTTCATTTATTCTTGACACGTAAATAAAAGGAAATAATTATTTCTTTTTATTTACGTGTCAAGAATACTCTTTCAATATTAGTTTTCAACATCCTTCATCTCGGGTAAATATAGGACGATCGAGATTAGACAAGTGATTAGAAAGCAGCTCAAGCCCCCTCCTTCCCTCCTCTTATTCGCGTCCCATTACTGGTGCGGTTCAACGAGAAAAAGAACGGCTATTCCGCTGACAGAGATTAGACGCGTGGGCAACAGCGACAGAGAAGGTAAAGAGAGATCGATTAAAACGGGACAAAAAGCGAGAATCGCGGTGATGAAGCTGGCAAGAAAAGCAAAGAAAAAGGAACGATGGCGGGAGAGCGGGACGGAGAAAGGATATTTTCTGAAACCGCGAAAAGAGCAGTGCGATGGCCATTGTTTCAATTTCCGCGTCTTTTAGCTGCGGCTTTATAATCTTCATCTTCGTTTTCATGGAACGAAATGCTGCCACATCACAAAAGATCTCCCACGCTAGAGGGATAGGTTCTTTATTTTTGTATTCCTCTCTCTCTCTCCAACTCTCCGATCTTTCGCACAACGTCAAAAGATTGATATGCGTTCTATCTGTTTTTGGCAGTATATCATTTCTGTACTCTCGCATTCGTGAAATACGATAAAAAGATAATCTTTAAAACAAATGTAATTAATTTTCCAAGTTGAAGCTTGCCATCGAAATCAAGATTTCGCAATTGTGAAACGTTTGATTTATTTTTGTCAATAGCTCGCAAAAGTTGGCTGTGACTCTCTTGTTTCAAATCCAAATCGATTTTACTTTTAATACTTTTGGATAGAAATTCTAATGCGATATCTGGAACTTTTTGAGGAAGAGCCAAAATTCTGTCAATTATATCTTATAATTTTGAAAATCAAATGCTAACTTCACAAAAATCACTCTGATAGTTCTTAAAATGTTGAGTAGTAGGATAATTTTAATTTAGGAATTTTAGTTAAAAATTATTATATAACTTTTAGCTAAGAAACTTTGCTTAAATACTTTGATAAGTTAAACGGGAGCGCGAAACGTTACTAAAACGAAAATGTGTAGCACAATTATTAAGATGAAGCTTATTAAACCTTACCTATAATTTAACAGTTTAAGTTAGTAATAACATGAAATTTTTAGAATATTTTAAATTAAATCTGATTCAAATAATAATATCAATAAAAGTGTCAAAATTATTTTAAAACTTCTCTTTATTACAATAATAGACTTGGAACAATTAGGAAAAGAACACTATATTTGCAAGAGAGGTTTGTCATACTTTTCCTTACAATTAGTAATTTAGTAACACCGGGTGAAACAATTTCTTTCCAAATAATTCCTTGCATTAATGTCTCGGTATTAACTCGAAGTATGCAACTGGAAGTTAATACAAAGGCAAACACGTCTCAGATATCTTCGTCTGAAACCCGATAAAATGATAAGCGTGAACTTGAAAATCGTTGTTGTTTAATTGCACGCGACTGCATAGCGAGCATCAATGAGATCGCCAGCACGAGGAAGATAAGAGAAATTGTCAGATTACAGACATTAATCGATCAACGGGGTGCAAGGAAGCCGAAACGGGCGACATAAGCTGGGCTCTAATAGAGCAGGAATTGCAGCCGCCGTAATTATCAGGACACAGGGATTACGCTACGGCCATAGTGATTTCACTGCCGTTAAACGGGATAACGCCAGCAACTATCGGAGAACGACGACCCATCAGCGGATTAACATTACGTGGATTGTGAAAATGCATCATTGATGTTGCGCATATAATCGTGGAAATAATTTGTTCCTAACTATCTTGGATCAATTCAAAGCTAACGAGCCATTTAGAAATTGATATTAAATCCTTTTTTCTAAACCTAGGAAAAACAGATTTAAACAATAAGATTGTAATGTATTTCTCATGTTAATAGTTTTTGTTTAAAATTATTATCTATTTTTAAATCTATTTTTGTATAGCAAAAGGATCTTACATTTTTATGTTATTTAACTATACTATTTAGCTATACTACAGTTTTTTGCGTGTACTTAGCTTGTACATAGCTTTACATTTCTCTTTTATTTTTTTAGAAAAGTTTTTTTAACAATTAACAATTAGCAGGAGAAAATGCGTGATTAATATTGCACATATAACTATATATGGTAATCATGAATTCCTAATTATCTTGAATCAATTCCTAAAAAGTCATTTAATATTAAATCCTTCTTTTTTTAATTTTACATTTTTTATTAATACGTACAATATTATAATTCGTTTTATCAATATGACAAAATCAATTGTACTTAAAGAATTACGTGATATCGAATCAACAGAAAGTCAATTAAAGATAACGAATACATTCGTAGAATTGTGCTTATTTACTTGGTTATTTAAATACTTTGTACAAAGTTTAGTTGAAATGCTAATAATAATTCTTTAACTCAATCCCGACATCTAAATAATTAATAAATATCTTTCGTCCAGAAAAGGACAATTTCGCTAAAACTTTTATTAAAGTTAACTTTTGAAAGAGAACATAATGAAATGCACCATGATGGCATCAAGTCTGGAACTCTCGCGGATTTCCGCTTTGCTCTATTTGCTCCGGAGGGAATCAGGAAATGCAGCTTGTGCAACAACTCTATTTCCTCGTCGGATAAATCTCGCGCGGTCTTCCGCTCCCTGGAGCGAGCCTTTCACAAGCATCGCATTAGGAACAAGTTAGGGTTAGAAGGAAAGAAGGAAGGAAGAGAGAGAGCGAAAGAGAGAGAGAGAAAGATGCCATTCTTCCTAGAGCGCTGCACGATCGAGAAATTTCTCTCGAGAGCGGTGCGCGAAATTGACGATCGCGATCGACTTTATGATAGTTATGGCGGATAACATAAAGTGCGATAACACGATCGTCGGTTATCGCGAACGAAAAAAGAAAAGACGAACGAAAGAAAATACAGAGATACAAAAGGAAACTATACTAAACTTTTTCTCTGTATGAGTTACGTTTTATTTATGAATCATGAGATTTTATGTCGCATATATTTTTATTTTGATCTGTTATTATTAATCACCATACATTCGGAGAAGTAAAGAACAAGATAATGAATAAGGCTGTTTGAAATAAAAGTTGAATGTCTTTTGAAATTTCTTTGCGCGAGAGATAACGAAAGAATTAAGCATCTCAATGCGAAACGAAAAGGTTCGCAGATCAGAATTCCGATTATTCAACGCGAGGTGTCCCGGCGAACCTGGACATGGTGGACGCGTGCCGGTCCCGAGACTGCGATCTTTGCATACGCGCCGCTCTAGAATCCTAGCGATGCGCGCACGAGTACCGTCCCGCGTCTCCGAAGTTCCGGGATCGAATGTCCGCGGTCTTTGCGAACTCGCGGCGTCCTTTCCCCGCGAACACGACCCACCGGGGAGAAACTATTTCGCTAACGAGAGTCCGCGAGAACGCTGGGCTCACTCAACGAAGTAATTGGAATTCACGCTGAAGTGTCTCGCGCCGGGAGATACGCGCGCGCGCGCTGATAACGCGGCTGATAACCGAAGCGCGGTTAACCCTTATTCCGCCGTTACGATTCCTGTACACCTCTGTAAATTCTTTCGAATTCTCAATTCTTTAATTCAATTCTTCGATCTCGAAAAACACTTTTTTACTTGTAATTATGCACGCGAGACCTGTTGATTTTATATTTAAGTCAATTTAGTATGAAAAAGTGTGTTTTTCAGGCAGAATAATGTATGTAGATTTATCCTAACTTATTTTATTGTAAAAAAATGTAAAACTCTGAGGAAATCACATGATTACCTTCGTAGTCACATAACGGCTTGAAAGAGTACCGTACTAGAGAATTTTAGCTTATGTAACGGGGGATAGCGCGTCCTTCTCAAAAATTTATGTGCTGCTACGCAACATTTCCTATTCCTCTATTCTACAATCTTCCCTCAAGCTCGATTCGTCTCAACCTCGTCGCAGATATTTAATCGCTTCTCTTTTATATAAATCCTCATTTTATATAATAAATCTTTGTAACCGAAATCTCAAAATCGTTCCAAATCCTCGAGTGTCTCTCTTTGAAGCGACAGCGAGAAGAAACAGTTATGTTACGCTACACGACCGGGAAGGATAACGGATATTTATATGCATTCGAGCAAAGGTTACATTCGCTCTCCTTGGCACCTAATCGTCTTGTCCCGGCACTCGATTGCCCCATTGGACTACTCGTGCAAGTGCATCGCCGAGTATACCAGAGCTTAATATGCGCTCAATTAGGACGTTTACTATGCATACAGACGCACTTACCGTGTAGGCAATGGTGTTGATGGGCTGCGAGACACGGCCGTGCTTCTTCTCCTGTGTCGAGGAGCCATCTTTACTCTCGTTATCGGAATCTGTGCAGAAGAAAAAGAGAAACAGGTTTGCAGTCGCGTTACTTTCTTGAACACAGTGCGTTGATAAATAAAACATCTCTGATGTAACGTGCACATTTTATCTCGACTTGTCTAAGATTACTGCGCAGACATCTCTGTATCGCATAAGTATCTTACGATTATATTTACTTTTATTTGTAAAAATGACTTGGCGAAAAATCGGAATTCAGATTACTCGCGTCTACTTCCAAGTTCTGAAGAGATATTACACTCACATTTATCCTATTTTTTTTCCCATAAATTCAGATAATTTTTAGATAAATCGTTCGATAGAGATTATGTATTGTTAACATTTTATATATAGCATTTATTTGAAAAAAAAACCGTAGAATGTAGATAGCAACAGAATGTTGTAAGATAGAAGCAAATTTGCTCCTGCAAGTTGCATACCATCTTGTAGGAAGAACTATATGCCGTTATCCTAAATATTTTTTTCGATACGGACAATGTCGAATCTTCGAGTCTCCGTGAGACAAAGTCGATTGTCGACATCGATCTTGAGGAGGGGAAAAAAATATTCGCGATGAGGTGTTGAACATTCGCGGAGATAAGTAACGGTTAAATTTAATTTCTGCAGTCCGCCTACCCGACTGCATTACTCACTCGCCTCGCCAGTGCAGCCAGCTGCACCGTGGCGAGCGTGACTCGGTGATAAACGAAGCAGCAAACACGTGACGGCTCACGCAAAAGTCATTCCGAGGGTTGAACCTGCTTGCGCTGCGAGACAAACGCGGTTAATCACTGTCAATTTAAACATTCATTCGGTCGCGAACGGAGGGAGCATCTCGCGAGAATCTCACTTCAGACGATATGGGCGACCGAGAGGCGACTGTGAGGCAACGAGGCGCGACGTTCCTGTCGTGACATTGCTTTTAGAATTTATCTCACAAAGAAACTGAAATATTTTCTCTTGATTAGACAGAATAAAATAATTACATTTATTGTATTAAATGTGTTTATTGTAACAACACCGCGATTTCTCTTAATTGAATTATAAATAATCAATACTTTCTAAATGTAATGCTAATACAACCATGTAAAATCAATACTATTAGCGATAAGTCTACCAACACATTTTATTTATTATTATAATGAGTAATTGTCTTCGTGAAAATAAAATACAGAAAGCCTTGAGCATTAGACTGACAATGAGTGATATTATTTCGAAAAGTAAATCCGGATTGTTTTGGTTATTTTGCGAATGCGTATATACGTATAATTGATATAATTACCGGAGCTATTAAAAGCGCCAGTGTCAGATTACTCACATATCATAATTGAACGACCGCGTTTCCTATTATTTTCCACAACGGCCAGCTCCTCCCCTCCCCCCTGAAAAGCTAATAGATTTTCTCTATTGTACTCCATGAGCAAACGTGACAGAAATAACGAAGAATCGCGCGACGAGCAATCTGAAAGGTTTGTTTTTCTTCTCCGTGGCCTTCGATAAATGATTCAGACACTTTGCTCAATTTTAACTGGCATTCAATTCACGCCATTGCGCAATAAGCTCGGGATGACTGCGGAAACTGTTATTTTAGCCGGTATATACGATGGCGCGCGACGCGTGGACTTGACACTTCTCTACCAAATTTGCATACTTCATCGCGTCTCACACACGTCTCGCAGCTGGTGCACGTGTGAAATTAATTAATATTTATTGAAGCGATCGATCCCCGAAACGGCTTCTCTTGAATGTGAGTCTCTCCCAGTCTCTCCTAAAGTTTCCACTCCTCAGTCTACGACATACTCTTATTTTTTTTTAATTGAAAAAAAAGCTGCTAATCTAAAAGCATCGTTTAACTTGACCCTATTTAAGTCCATCAAATCAATCTTCGACAAATACACGCTATTGTATCTTTTTTTTAAGTAATTTTCAATTATGTCTTCATTTTTGACGTATTGAGATCAGTGAATGTAACAAAAATAATTTTCTATAAATATAAAAGTAAAAATAAAATATATCTATCTATTTCTAATATGAAATTGACGATGAAAAAATTTGCAGTGTACGAGTGATTCACCAAGTAGCAGCGAGTGATTCACCAAGTGTTCCAAGTAACAGAGTAAACAATTTCTCTCGGACTTGCTAACGAAGTAAAAATGAAACGATTCGCGCATTTCAAAAGTTGAAAGAGATTAAAGCAAACATTGTCGAAGGGCTGCTTTCAAAAACACAGGCGATGTTTGCCGAAATCGGCGAAGCTCTTACTTCGCGCGGACAAGGATGAGAAACGCGTAACGCATGGACGATATCTCGTACTGATTTAAACGCATTTTTCGCCACGTTTTTTCCCCCATATTGTCCGAGTACTACCTGTACTTGAGGCGCGCTGCGTGCTGTCTGAGAAGAGCTGCGAGTCCCCTTGCGCCACGTAGTACACGACATAGTCGTGAAATTCCTTCTCGTAAATATGAATGTTGCTCGCCTCGTAATCGGCGTATTCCCACTGCGAGTCCATCATGATCGGCACGTCAAATTCCATCGCCGTCGACATTTCCAAGTCGGAGCATCGTCGCGCTTCTCGACGCTCTTTTTTTTTCGAAATCGCCAGAAAGCGGACACTCCTCGCTGTCTATACGCGAGCGCGTTTTAATATATTTCGCATCGACCGATCACAGCGTCGGTGGAATAATGTACACTGCTGCACTTTCCGTAATTGATAGGTGTCGAGTTGACGGTGTCAGCGCGAAGTATAATTGGATAAATGGGAAGAGCGCGCACGGGTGTGAATCGGTTTTTTTTTCTCCGCTATTGTAATCGGAGCTTTTTACGTAATGCATTATCTAGATAAACTCGCCACTAACGTTATCGCGGTATAAATATATCAACGATTATATATTTATATCAATATTATATCAACATATTATCAAGGAAAAAATAAATCTAACAATAAGCTTCAAGATTGGATATAAAGATAAAAAGTATTTGAGCTGTTCCGATAATAGATAAATAAAAAGCTACGTTAAAAATAAGATAAATAGTGGCGCTGTAAGATAAATAGAGACACTAGTTACAAGTTCGGCGGAGTTTCAGCAAAGTTTTACATTAACAAATGATTCAGGGAGATACAATAGGTATTGACTTCTCTTCGGCTTCTCCGTTAATTTTATCTACACTCAAACGGGACGCTCGCTCAGCGCTAAGTAGATAGCTCAACTCACAAAAGAAAAGAAAATACAAAAATAAACCGATACAAAAGCTCTCTGAATTGAAATCTACATATGAATGAAGCAATAGTGCACAGCCGTAGCCTCCTCCGTTACTTTCCGCAAACCCTTTCACTGCCCAGACGTTTTTTTTATCGGTCCAACTCGGAGGTTCTCAAAAAAACAAACTTTATGTTATAATAAATATCGTAGTTTTGTAATGTTAATCTTTCTCGAATAAGCCTGGAAATGTACGCTGGCCTAAATGCTGTTTTATAAAAGTTTTTTAAAAGAGATATACGAATTAAATGTAAGTTCTCTCTCTCTCTCGGTGCGTCGTATGTAATGCACCAGAGTCCCAGAAATAAAACTTTGTATCACATACGATATGGAACAGCGAAAGGGTTAATAAATGGCACGACATATACCTTTTACTTACAAGTTCACTTACTTTTATCTTTCAAGACTAAGAATTTTAAATACCAGACCGCTCAAAACGCCCCAGAAATATCTCGTCAATTAGCATATATCACAGAAAATTATCGAAGATTAATCTTGTTCCTTCCGAGAGAAGCTTTCTTGTGAGTGTCGAGCTATCAACGTTTGCGCAGAGTGGCTCAATTTCTTCACGCGGACGGAAACGCACGCAGCTCTTCGCCGGGACACTTTCTCCCGTCGCGGTACCGGTGCGGCGGCGCGGTCGACCTTGTCATTACAAGTGGCAATACGTAAAAAGTGCTCGCTCCGCGGGGCGAAACCGGCTTACGCCGAAACTTTCTCGCGTGACAGGCCAAACACGCGCGATAAAGCAATTGGCCCACTCGGAATCGCCGACGAAATCTTGACATTCAATTTACGGCTCGGATTTGTCGAGAAACTTTGATCCCTCACACTTCGAGTGTAGATAAAACGTTTTCCTCTTGCCTAATGATTACTTTCTTTCATGTATACATATATAATGATGTATAGTTACATCATATATATTAAAAGATGCGTATATTCTTTATATACATATATTTAAAAAATATATGTGTGTATACCTATATACACTTTATATATATATATATATATATATATATATATATATATGTATCTAAAGATCATGCATATTTTTTAATATATATTTCTCACAAATATAATACATAAAAACACATATACATGTATAATTACAGTGTAAAAGTGCGACAACTTCGCGATTTGTAACTAATTCCGCTTTAAATACGAAGCACGTAAAATAACTTGGCGCAGAGGTCGAATCGTTATCGAGCCGTTCGCGGAAAAATCTGTAGTCGCGAAGTTACGCGCGCGGAACCGACAGCGTTCCGCGGCAGAAACGTACTGCGCGCGAGAATCGGCGCTCGGCCCGCGGCGACGACGTATACTTTTATCGCGTAAACGCGATAACGGAGACGACAGACAAGTCCTGGCGTCGGCTTTGGTCGGCTCACCGTGACTCCCAGTACGATCCTCCGACGCGACGTCGCGGTCGCGAGGCAAACGTCATCCGCGCGCGGCTGAAACTGCGCGAGAAGGTATCACGATCACGTGAATGATTAGCACGCGCCGCGCACCCGCGGAGGTCGTCGGGTGTCACCGATCGGCGATGGAGAGGAACGATCGCGATTCGCGACGCGAATCCAATCCGAGTTCGAGCCCGACACCGACGTCGCGCGCCGATCGACGCGGACGACGGACACCTCGCGATTTACGTACACAACAACGACCGACTCCGCGCGACTGACCGTCCAGCACTGATCGCCATGATGGAATCCGATCGACGTCACTCTTGGCGGGACTATTTGACTGTCGTTTTCCTTATTCGCGACCGACAAATCGCGCGGTAATTGCGAGATTAATCTCCGGATTTTCAGAGTGGAACGTCGGATGGGATCGGATGAGATCGGTTTCGCGAACCTTTCCCGAGTCGCGATTCACAATTACGAGTAATTATTATTTTGCACCGTTTATTAACGTTGACAATAAATTGTGTAAATAATAAATGATTTTTGAAGATCAGATATGTAGTAGAGATGTGCGAACTATTCGAATCGATTCGAATCTGAACTATTCGAAAATTTCAAATCTAGGTGGTTCAAATACGAATATATTATACAATTGTCAATTTTATAAAATCATATTTCTCGCTAATAAGCAAAACAATACGTTGACAATAAATTGTGTAAATGATAAATGATTCTTGAAGATCAGATATGTAGTACAGATGTGCGAACTATTCGAATCGATTCGAATCTGAACTATTCAAAAATTTCAAATCTAGGTGGTTCAAATACGAATCATATTATACAATTGTCAATTTTTTTAAATCATATTTCTTTCTATTAATAACCAAAACAATACGGTCGTGTTAATAGGGGTATTCAGATAGTGCATTCAGTATTACAACCGCTCACCGAGCGACTAACAATAAGTAGTCAAAAAGTTTATTTCTAATTTTTGACATGCCCTGTGACCCTATCAAATTGTAAGTAAAAGTTTAAATATATGTAGAAAAATAGTAGGCTATGAGTATTGATAATAAAATAAACTATATATTATTTTATCTTAATTTCTATGTGTGTAATTGGATGTTATTGGATACTACATTAGAGTATTTTAATAATTTATCTATGATTTTTCGTCTAATTGTTCAGTTATGACATTAAATAAAATATATTTTATTAGTTTTATATTAAATATTTAAATATGTTAGTGCTTTAAAAAGAATTTACATTATATAATTAATATTATTTTTCCACAAAATATTCTTTTATTATCTACATGTTAAAATCATGTACAATCTATATCTGAACAATTATATTGTTAATTGAAAATTATATTTTAACAATTCGATTCGATTTCATTCGATTCGTTTCGATTCTAATAAATTTTTACTGATTTAATTCGACTGAAATTCGAAAAAGAAAATAAAATTAGATTCGACATCAAAAATCCTTAATATGCACATCTCTAATATAATATATAAACTACTAGTATGAAGTGATTCAAAGCCAACGATTCTAGTTTTGTCAGTCGATCAAATCATCGCAATATGCTTCTGGTATCATTACATAACGGCCGTAACGATTTTCGTGTCCCGAGGGATCCTTCAGATAATTAGTCTCAAGCGACGAAGAGATGTTCGATACGTTTGCCAGTCGCGGCATGCAGTATGAATAAATTATATATTAAGCTATGACAACACTATGAATATATGAATAAGAGACAAATGTAATTTCACACTACTCTCAAACGTGACTTCATATTCAAATTAATAATACCCACATTAATAATAATTTTATGCGAGTTAAAATATCATAAAGGCTACTTTATGTCACATATACATGTACATAATTAATATTGTTATTATTACACAAACATTATTATATGTATACATATATTGTAATATATTAATAATAATTAATTATACATGTTATTTAAATAAATATATATTAATTGTTTTAATATGTATAATTATATAATTATAAATGTATATATATAAATTTTTAATTTTATACGTATTATTTAACTATATGTGTAATATAAATACATATAATTTTAAAATATGCGGATATGTCAAGCCTGAACTACTTGTGCCATTTTTGCCGTTGATAAAAACGAAATTATATAGTATCACATTTTTTATTCTATTATTGTATCAAAATAGAAACGTGTCATTGGATGGTATCGATTATAGCCATCTCCAGCGGCATTGTTTTCGAAGCGTGCAGCAGCGTCTCAAAACTATCAGAAGCAATCGGATCTTAGATAAGTATGTGCGCATTTTTCACCCAAAACAGGTTCTGCGTTGGAAGAGACGGAGAACGCAGTAACGAATATTTAAACGCGCCGTGGCTAAGGCTAAGGCTAAGGCTATATATGTATGTATATAACGTTTAGGATTTATAAATCACGGCAGATGCTTGTGTTAATGCGAATAAGTTTCCGCCGGTTTATTTTCTTGGCCGTCACGCATGCGGCCCTGCCGCTTTCCGAGAAACTTTTAAAGCCTCGCTTGATATTCGTGCATGCATGGCATAATCGGGAATGAACGTTTGCACAGCCTGTGCGCAACTAGTGTCGTTACAATGTAAACAGTCGCATGTATGCATAGAAGCGACGACGAGGGAACCCCGATAAAAACGTCAATGCAATCGACGAATGCATCGCGCTTGGAATATATCGCTGCTCTCTCTCTCTCTCTCCCAATTTTTTTTTACGATTTTTATCGCGAAAAATATAATTGTCCCAAAAAAATAAAATAAAAAAAATACAGCCAACTGTTCGTATTTAATAATAACATTAAAACGTAAACAAAAATTAAATGACCAATGTAACACGAAATTCTCGACAGATTTATTTGAATTGTTATGTAATTGATTTAATTTAATTCCAATAAATAAATAACATTTATTTTAATAGTAAAAAATTTATTTTATAAAAAAATCGTTCCCCAGAATTTGTTTGATTAATAGCACGTAGTGAGCAACGAATATAACTTGGAGCGCGCGGCGGACGGCTAGATTGGCGACCGGATTATTTCTCAGACGTGCAATTCCACAGACGGCTGGCGCGGGCATAATGAGATAAATTTCTAACGATAGTTGGAAACAATTGTCCCTTGGTGAACCCTCCGCTCCCATTAGAGCCACACCCGCGTGCATATGCACCGCGGCAAATGAGTCAAATGCTCGGCGCTGCTATCTGGGTTGCTCGCGAAGCGGATTTAATAAACTGCGCGCGAAGCTGTCGAGACAGAATCTAAATTCTCGTGGCAATTTCGCATTCGCGAAATGGAGCGCGGTACACGACGCGGTGCGCGGCGCAGCGACGCCAATAGCGATTTGAGTTTCTGCATTCAAGTTCATTTATTGCGCAATAGGCGTGTAGTAAATATAACGTAAAAGCAGTGAAACTCGTAAATACGCGCGCGCTTATTTTGATAAGCGATGAAAGTAAATTAATAATTTCAACAAATAAATAATTTCAACAATTGAAAATAAATTATAGGTAACACGATAATAATTAGGTTCTAATCTGCATAATCCAATCATTTATCTAATGATAAATTATCGCTTTCTTATACGATAACTGTCTAAAATCACTTGGCGAATACGATAGAAAGATATCTACTACACAAACAATCACTAGGCTCGCCTATAAGATTAAAGTAAGGTAAAAGTATCAATGCCGAGACACTTAAGAACTATGTTTGGACACTTTTATCATTTTAGTTTTTAAATAAGTATAACGCGAACTAAAATCAAAGATAAAAATATATTACAAAAAAAAATATTTTTATCTTTGAGTCTTTGATTTTAATTCGCGTTATAATTTATTTAAGGGCTAAAATGATAAAAATTTTCAGACACAGATACGTGTCCAGTCATTTACCTTAAGTTTCGTTCAGTCACACAAAACGTGCATCTAAATTATATATCTTCCGCCTAAACTGTCCATTCCTCATTAAGAATCAATGTCGATTAAGACAATGTATACGATCGCCTGTTCGCAATCCTATCGATCTCTCGCGGCCAGACCTGCGTTCCGTTTATCGAAACACTGCTCCATTAATTATACCACACCACTTTATCCTTAATCCCGCGCGTCAATTAGTCTTCATTACGCTTCTGGCTACGCTGGTATTGGTTAACGCTGGTATCGCGTCGATTCGAAGTATGCGCGAGATAGGGCGATCGATCACACGTGGCACTTGTGCCACTTTGAGAAAGTAAGTCAATGTAACTCGGCCCGTGTAAGGCTGCGCGCGGCTGATTCGTCGAAACAACCCGGGTCCCCGAGACCTTCGTTCGGTATAGATCGCGCCGTCATCATGGTCAGCCAGTCTCTCCAATTCGCCCGCCCATCGTCCCGGCGACGTCATCATCCGGAACTTCCGCGAGTCGCGGATATTCCGCGGATGATCGAGTACGCGGTGAATCCGCGCGCGCGACATCGACGGACGTCGCATGTTAAATAATCTTCGATAGTGCGTGACGCAGCGGATCAGATCGATCACTATAGAGAAAGGGCATGTGTGTGTCGTACAATGACGTATCGGTTCGAAAGTAAAAAGATAAATTGCCGCGGCCGCTTAATATTAAATCCTTAATATCGTAGCGTTAAATGGTTTGAATGTTTTCGGCTGATGTCAAGTTTAAAATGCGTATGAATTATATGCGTAAAATGTCTAAAAAATATATATAAATATTTGCGATTTAAAAAAACATGATTAATTTCGACGTTCTTTCTGAAAATGATTGATTAATGACGCTTGCGAATAAACGGGATCCACGACGTGTCGAATATTTACGCAAAATCCGATGCGATACCGACCGTTTCAATTATTAATAATGCAATAACGTGTACTCACCTTTCGAGAGTTTATCCACAGATTCGAAGCGTCCTTCGACCTTGTTCCGCAGAGCGTCCAAATCGAAGGGTGCCGTAAATCCATGATCCACGCTACGGCTCTTGCTCCTGTAACAGAGTAAACGCAGTCGTTAATTAGCTTTACTCTCGTTTATATCCCGGGCTCGTTGCGCAACAAATTTGATTAAGCAAAGCGAAATCTGCAAAAATAGATCGGAAGAGATAGAATAAAACGAGAGAATGAGTCGCGGGTAGGTACTCCATTCCGTGCGCTCGTTTTCAAAAATTAATTTTAAATTCCCTGCAATTTTCATTCCAAACTACGAAATATCGATTCGATAAACTTGTTTAAAAAAAATCGTTTGAAAAACAGAAATTAGAATAGCTCGAAATGTAAAGTGAAAATGATATACCGAGTAACGAAAACAAACGCGCGCGAGAATATCGGGTAATGAAAAGGTATTTCTATTTGCAGTTTACGTCCCTGGAATGGAATCAAGTCGCCAGCACATTCGGAAATGGGCTCTCTCTCTCTCTCTCGAGTCGAGAAAGAGAGAGAGAGAGAGAGAGAGAGAGAGAGAGAGAGAGAGAGAGAGAGAGAGAGAGAGAGAGAGCCCACTCGTCCACTTACTCCCGCAGGAAACATATTGTGGGACGTTACGCGGGTAGACACTAATAGTTTGGCGCGACACTATTTGTAAAACGCTCAGCTGAGGAGGCAATCTTGCTTAGCCATAACAAAACGCAATTTCACGATGCAACGAACCGTGCGCCGTGCAGGTTGCCTCCATAAGTCGTGTCGTCCACGGACGCGTGGCCGACAGAGATAAAGCCCAATGAGATTCCTACGAACTGAATAACTCGACATAGTGCAACGCGTCGTGGGAAGGGAAAAAAAGAGAGAAACGTGAATGAAAAAGTCGGTGAATGAACTTGCGTTATGTCATAGCAACACGGCTCATTGCTGTAAGCCGCACATTTCTGCCGATTTCCTATATAGGATTGTTCCAAGTTTTACTTTTCAGAAACGTAGAATTCTTTATAAGAGAGACGTATTCGGAAGAGAGACATACGCGTTGTTACGTAAGTTTCTTTTGCGGTCACCTTACGGGTAGACTTACGATAAAAAAAAAACGATATGTTTGTTCAAAAAACTTTGAATTCTATTTACAAATCTCTATTTACATTCCTACATGCTTTTCATGTACAATCTTGCGTGCGTTTCTATATAAAGGATGCACAATCATACTACATTCTAAAGAGAGATCATAACTATTTATAATACTTATAATTCTCGCTGTTGAAGTCCGGAGAAAATAGAGAAGTGACGATGACGAGATATGATGATAGAGCGTAGGTGTTTTGCATACCTGAAATAAGACGCTGAGAGATTTTCCGTCGATTTCGAGGTCGTGACGTCCTGGGACATTCGCCTGGACCTGGGATGCAACAAACAATCCAAAACAAGGATGGTGAAAACACATGCAATCTACGTGCGCAGGAGCTTAAAAAAAAACTAAAATCATAATTAAATTGAAAAAAAAGTCAACTGCAGTAAGCTTGGAAAGTAATTTTTACTCGGAAAACTGTTTTCACGCGCAGAGTACTTGAAGTATTTTAACCTCTCGTGGAATTTTTAATGAGCGACCTTGCGTGCTTGACATTTTAATTCGTAATGTATGAACATGCGACTTATCAAGTACAGCGTGTTTTTCAAAGTTTTTTTGTTGAAATAGTACAATATTAATTCATCACGTCTGTTTGCAAAACAAATTTTTACTTCTTTTAAATCTCACTGAAATACTCAAGATTCGAAATTATCTCGTTATAATAAATAGCAATTATAATAAATATACAATTAAAGCAATGGTATTACTTCTTCCAAAAAATTTATTCATAAAAACGTGTCTTCGATTTAAGTAAAAATCTCATTCCAAGCGTACCGCAGAAACTGTCAATAAATCAAATTAAAAACAAGCGTAGGTGCAAAAAGCAATTCGGCAAGGGCCAGGATGCTCGCAATCAACAATAAAACGTTCAGAAAATCCAATCGAACTAATCATCAGATAACTATTGATCGTAATGCATCATAGCAGTCTATTGGATGCACATGCAGCTGTGTTATTTGTCGCGATCCGTGCTGTGACAAGTGCTGTCTGCGCTATACGTGCGCGTGAATCGCGGAAATGCATGGTCGCACGTTCGTGCGGCAGCGGCCGCACTCGATTCGGTCAATTTGAGAAGGTAAAACGTCTGCGTGCACTCGCGCGTACACGGGAGGCCGCATCTCTTCCCGCGCTAATTGCATCCGACGTTTTAATTCGATTACATTCGACGTGGCTCAGCGGGTTCGCGCTCGTTACTGCTTCGAAACGGTGTTCCTCGTTTGCCGAAACGTCGGGAAATTCGCTCTCTTCTCGAAACAACGCGTACGTGTATTTGTTCGCGTAATAAAATCTAACTTACAGACATATTTTAATTTGTAAATTTTACACGTTATGTCTGGTGGATTTAATAACTATTTAACGAGAAAAATTCATTCCTCTTTTCGTTGCAGCTTAAGAGAATTATTTGTAAAGAATAATAGTAAGAAATGCAATACCGCGTCAAAAGTATTGCATCACAATATGGAAAGAGAAGTCGTTACTTTAATGAAGAAAGACGTACATATATGTTACAAAATTTTATTTTAGTAGGTACTGTTATTTTATGCTTTGATAGAAATACTTTGAAAAAAAAACAAAGATTTTAATGATTTAATTACGTTAAATCATTAAGATAAATAAATGTTATAAAATGTTATCTTAGTACTGTTATTTTATGCTTTGATAGGAATACTTTAAGAAAAAACAAAGATATTAATGATTTAATTACGTTGTTTCAAATTATCACCAACGATAATTATAAGTCAATTAAATCACTAAAATCTTTGTTTTTTTTCTCAAAGTATTCGTATCAGAGCATAAAGTAACAGTACTAAAATAAAATTTTATAACATTTATGTACGTCTTCCTTCATTAAAGTAACGACTTCTCTTTCCATATTGTGATGCAATACTTTTAACCGGTACTATATATTCTAGCAGTTCTTAATAAAAATTAATTTTAATTATTCTATGTAATACAATGTATCACAGGTAAGGAGTTGGAAGAGAAATTTATTGGGTGAATATAATCAAATTATATACTGCCGATAAATTAAACTTATTAAACGATGAGATTGGATACTTTCAGGCAGTTTTGTTAACTATTCAAGAAAGTTTTCATAGAACTGTGGTCGTCTCTACGCTGTAACATTTAACAACTCGGTAATAACCAGAAGCAATATGAGCCAAAAGGTGCGCACGTGTACACTAAACAAAACTAAGAGAAAATGTTTTATGTTTCGGAAGAATTTTGCTATAAATTTAGAACTTTGCAGTCGTACATCGTACATCTGAATACAGAGGCGAGCGGGAAGTAACAATGCACTAAATATATATGGTAACAGCGCACTTTCGGATGTGATTCGTTTTAATCGCGCGGCCGTACGGGCGTCGCAATTTGTGCAAAGCTGGATTTTACTGGTGATTAGGCAGCATAAATTACGTTATTGCGTTAAATCATATACAACGGTATGCCAATAATTAATCCGAAACAGTCTGAACGCCGCGCCGGCGAAATTAATGTTACCGTGCGACATTCCGGATAGGAAATAAAATGATAAATTGTCGAACAATATTTAATTAAGTGACCTAACGCGCGCGCTGTTTTCACCGCGCTCGGACAAATATAAGCGGATATAGGTATAAATAGCTTTGGCACAATTTCGATGGCTCTTGTTTACGCGACCGTTGCTTTCACGCTCCGGCAATACTTCGCCAAAAAACAAATATTTACGTAACACCTCGCGGCGTCGCGAGTTATACGTTTGCGATTTTTCACTGATGTATGCGCAGGGCTGATGCTGAAAGACGGTGCTGAGGTATTTACTGAGAACGTACTATTTCACGATTGCACGTCGAAACATGCATAGCATTATGTTAACTGTGTATTACGTTAATTATGGAAATCGCGGTATGAGTCGAGAGAACCGCGGTAATTAATAAGTCACCGCGCTGCAAGTTCTCGGCCACCGGAGATATAAATAATAAATTCGTAGCCCGAGCCAATCGACCGGACCTTCAACGAAAACATACAACCGCATTCTGAAATATTTACCCGCTGATATACGCAATATCAAGAATTTATTAATCCCTCCGAGCCCGAACCACAAATTCATATATATATGTATATATTCTTCCTAGAGCTGTTTACTTTGTACACCTATTTTACCAATCAATCTCTGAAATTCTCTTTAACCACCGAGATCGCGTATTTGTTCGAATGTATAACATGCCGACGGAATGATAATAAAGAAATGATGCAATTACCTACTTCAAAGAATTATACAATAAATAAATTGAAATTTCAGTAACGTAATGTCAATCGAAAAATGTTTTGGTAAAATACTTCTTTACTTTTCTTATTTCAATTGTTGCAGTAGCGCCTGGAAGTAGGCAACTGCAAACAGCTGCGTGCAATGTGGACGAGAAGTAATTTTTTTCTCGCAGGCGTTTTCCTTATCCTATAGTTTCCCGGTTTCGCATGGTTTCACATACTCGTAAACAGTGACGACTTGAGAAACAGATTGACGTAAGATGTGTTATATTTATCGTATGGAAATTAAAAGATATAAAAGAGACTAACATGCGTATTCTCTGGCTATTAAAAGAGAATAACATTAGAGTGTTGATATTGCATGTGATATTTGCTGTGAGCTTGGTACTAGGTATTCCCATACAGTAGATTAAAAAAGTATTTGCACACCCAGTTTTTTTACAATAACTACGAATTGTAATTATGTTTTATTCCTTCGAATTGTGTCCATAAGTAATTCATTACATACAGTAGGTATATGTAATAAGTTACTTATGAATTCGTAATTATGTATTATTCCTTCGAATAAAATTATTGTAAGAAAACTAACCGGGTGTGCAAGTACTTTTTTGATCCACTGTATTGTCAAACAAAACTGAAAACGAAATTTCAGCAAAATCGAAGCAGATTTATTGCCACGGGTTTCGGTATGCTCTTCTTTTCTTACTTAGGAAGAATTCTTTTCAACTTTTTTAAAATTTTTTTTTACTATTAAAAGCTTGAAGAATGATAAATATTTTGCAGCAATCTATCTAATTTAGTTATATTCAAGCTTAATACTAGATCCGTTAAATTTTCTTAACTACTTTATAATTTTAAATATCATATTTTTGTTTTTACATTTTGAACTTTTATAAATAGTTTTCATAGATAAATACTGTTACGTAAATCAAATCAATAATACCAATTATTAACAAAAAACTTAATCTGGGAACGGGTGTCTGGGATGAATTTTATATCCCAGTATCGAAAAAATGAAGCTCACGATAAAGCAATTTTATAATGTGCTTATTTATTTTTATATATTTTTTCGGTTTCTCCTTATTTTTTTCAGAAAATCTTGAATAAATCTATATACATATTGTCCTCAATTACTCATAAATTATAGAACAATCAAAAATATGCAATATGTAATTAATATCTAACAATAACTTTTAATTGGAGTGCAGACGCCCGTTCTCGGGTTAATAGTAATAATAAAGAGAATATTTCATAAAGAGATCGAGTTTCGCGGTAAGATTTCCTAATGGAGTGCACATCAAAACACGCAAATTGCAAAGATTTTGGAAACGATGAAAGTCAAATCGCCAAGGAAAAAAAAGAACTGATCCATTTCAGCGATCAATTTCAATCTATCCGGAAAAAGTTTCACCGTGAAATCTTCCAACGACGATGCAAAGTAAACAGTTGATTTGCGAGCAATTGACGCAGTTAACAGTTAATAATGGACAGTTTCGGATGACCTCCTTATGCTTGAACGCGACTCAAATGGCTCGAGTTACGTCGTTACGTGTCCGTGCGGTAATACGCCACCACTGGGCGCAGTATAGTAAAACGGACGATACGTGCGCAGACGGCGCGCAATTTCCCCGGCTATCGGTCGCGCCGGTGAGCTGCGTGACCGAGATCACGCGCGTTGACCGGCGCGCACGAGGCGCTTCTTACGCACACGATGGAATTGGGATAGCGCGCGGCATCGACGAACCATCGAAAGAGAGAAAGGTGGCACGAGCACGCGCGCGTACGAACGACCGGCGCGGCGGCGAGCCATTTCGACATTTCCCGCGATAGGTAATCGGGGAATACGCGTGGCCGCCGTATTCCCCGGAGTTGTTACCTGGGCTGGCCCCCCGATGACTCTCGGTCTCTTCCGACAGCACGCGCGTCAACGGGAAACCTTCGCGGCCTTCTATCCTCCGTGGCGAAATCGCGGGGACGATTCATTGGCAGCGGATGTTAATTGAGCGACGGTAACCGCGATT